AAATACAGGATTATTTCCAGACAAAGAGTGCATTTTTGTCTATGATCAGTGAGTCATGACTGCCAGTGCCACTGTAAATGGGCTGCAAGGCCTGTAGTTGGCTTATACAAATACAGAATACAGAATGGTACAGAATAAAGAGTTGGTCAGAAGTGGAAACTATTCATGTTAATGACATTAAAATGTTATAGCTTTATGTACAGTCTCGAATAACTTGTTCATAAAAGTTCACATTACAATCTGAAAATGTGGGCAAGTCACTTAATTACAACACGACAAAATGCCTGAGCTAATTAGTGATTGAATTCCACTTCTATTTGATCTATATTACTAATGTAATGAACTGAAACCAGCCACTTCTTCAAATAAGCTTAATATATAAGCCAAAGGTTTTAGCTTCAATGCAGTTTAGAAAAAGGATGACAGGGAACCAACATCACATCCAATTAGTTTGCCAACACTTAGCAGTAAACTCGGCAAAATCACCTGGTCAACTCACCTGCAAAGTTATAGCATTTGATTATGCATTGTGATTCCAAAGTTATAGCATATCATTTTAAATTGCAAAAGCTTTTTCCTAATGAATATTTACTAACTTTCCTCACCTGATTTGACACTGCTTTACAGCATCCAGCAGCCTTGACAAAAGGTTTTGCCTTTCTTCCGACTTGAAATCCATGGCTTTGTCTTCCTCTGTTTGTCTATGCTTGTGGCTGATTGAAATACCACAGCTATTTGTCACAGGGAAATGCAAATAATTATCGTCTTCCCTCCTTCTGCTTCAGCTTTATCGAAATTAAATACCTAAGCAAAGTTACACACAACCAAACGCGCAAATCAAAAACCTTCGAGTGTGAGGCACAGCAAAGCGATGGAGAAGGTTGAACTAGCAGCGAAGCCTTGAAGTAAAAACCTTCTCACCATGACAACGCAGATCTCTTCAATTATTCCAAGGCCAATAATCTGAATCCAGCCAAAATTGCCCTAAGCTTCGCCCCAAGCGAAGATCTCCAAACACTGCCGACCTTGAAAAAGTGCATGAGCCAATGAGCTGGCAGAAGTAGGAGAGGCGGACAGCACTATTCTACTGCCAGTTCTGCGATCGTCCCAAAACTTGAGAGATGCCAGCTTCATTGAGAAAATAATGATATATGAGTTGAAGTATACAATTATACTACCAGTTTTGTACTTTTATAACCTCAGATGACCCAAGTGACCTTAAAATGTAATTGTACCTACACTCTCGGGCAGGGCTGCGGAGTCGATGGATTTTCGGCGACTCCGACTCCGACTCCGACTCCGGCTTTTAAAAACCAGCTCCGACTCCGACTCCGACTCCGGGCAGAATTGTCGACTCCGACCGACTCCAACTCCCGACTCCGACTCCGCAGACCTAGCAGGGCTGCGGAGTCGACAGATTTTCGGTGACTCCCCAGTAAACATGCCGACGTCGGCCCGACGTCGGCCGACGTCGGGGTGACGTCGGCAACTCGGCATCGGCATGCCGACGTCGGTCCGACGTCGGTCCAACCTCGGCACGACGTCGGCTGGATGTCGGATATGCCCGCATGTTCCGACGTCCAGCCGAGGTCCAGCCGACGTCGGGCCGACGTCGGACCGAGATCAATTGCTGAGGTCCAGCCGACGTCGGGCCGACGTCGGGGCGACGTCGGACCGACATCGGCCGCTGTTTTGACCGTTAAAATAATATAAAATACATGTTTCATGTTTCATAAAGAGCTTCTGTATTCAAAATATCCTCAGGAAACTCAAATCTTCCTCCACGCCGCAACCCCCTGATCCGGACTGGACGGGAAACTTTATCCCATTTGGGATTGCCCGTAAGCCGAGCTCGCCCGTAGCCGGGTGCGGTGAGTGCTTGGGGGCTGCTCGGCCTATCCTTTGGTCAGGCTCAGCCCCGGCAACTCACCAAGGCCGGGCCCAGTTCATATAGAAAGGCCAGTCGGCAAGTGTCACTTTGCCAAAGTGCCACTTATCAAAGGGACACTTTGGGAAACGTTGGTGCAGGTCTAAGAGTGGCTATATGAATCCATTGTGGGGTCGCCCTTTCCAACATGTGTCACGTAACAGCAATGGGACCAGGGACTCTATATGAACTGGACCGAGGGTGCTCGCCAAGAAGACCAATGTCTCCATCCTATCATCCTTCCGGCCAGGGCTGCGGAGTCGATGGATTTTCGGTGACTTCGACTCCGACTCCGGCTCGGGTTTCTAAAATCGACTCCGACTCCGACTCCGACTCCGGTCACAACTGTCGACTCCGACCGACTCCGACTCCGACCCCGACTCCGACTCCGCAGCCCTGCTTCCGGCTCTGAAATGGTCTTGTCAGACCGAAAGGGCATAAGCCAACAAAACAAACAAAATTCGGTATCTGCCTGCGTGGTATAGTGGTTAGCGCACTGACCTCGCGTTCAAATGACACGGGGTTCGAATCCCATCGCCGGCTGATGCTTTTGGCGTGTTGTCCCAGTAAACATGCCGACGTCGGCGACTGGGGGGCTCGAATCCCGCCGCCGGTTGATATTTTTGGCGCGTTGTCCCAATAAACATGCCGACGTCGGCCCCGTCGGTCCAACGATGAACGATCTCGTCAACCTCGGCAAACGACCTCGGCCCGACGTCGGCTCGACGTCGGCTGGACTTCGGCTGGACGTCGGAACATGCGGGCATATCCGACGTCCAGCCGATGTCGGGCCGAGGTTGAACCGACGTTGGGCCGACGTCGGGCCGAGCCTCGGCCCGACGTCGGGCCGACGTCGGCATGTTTACTGGGTCCGACTCCGACTCCGGCTCGGGTTTCTAAAATCGACTCCGACTCCGACTCCGACTCCGGTCACAACTGTCGACTCCGACCAACTCCGACTCCGACTCCGACTCCGACTCCGCAGCCCTGCAGTCTCGGGTTAGGTATTGAAGTCATCTTAAAACACAGCAGTTACGCTCTGATGATGCACATCTCGCCGCTGCCCGTTGCTACAAGGCGTTGGCGCCTGGCGGCTACAGAGGTTGACGCTCGATTTATATGGAAACGCTAGCAAAATTGCCAATTTTTCCTATGCTTTCACAGAAATAAAGCGTAATAGGTAATAAAGCCTTTTAGAGCGGTTAACGGCGTGTTGACTGTTGTGCAGCATGGCCCACGACGACCAAGACGGTCATCCACGGACTTTTAAATCAGTGGCGGCGGAAGCAGGGGGGCAAGGGGGGCATCTGCACCCTAAAGCTATGGAAAGGGGCGCCTCGAAAATCTGTAGAGGAGGCAGGAAGTTAAGAGGTGCGGCAGCCATAAAGCTGAGCAGTGCGACACCGCAACTGATAAAGGCAGTGACTTGTGACACGAAGATGGTGGCAATGACGTGGGAAAAGTATCTTTTGATATGCTGAAGAGTGGAGGGCATCCTTATCTGAAACAAAGGCAGATGCTGCCGACCCTGTCGAATATAATCTTGCCAGGCGATAAAGGCTAGGAGGGCGCAGCCACTCGAGAAGCGCGCCATGCGGAAGAGGGGCGCCTGCATGCGAAAGAGGGGCGCCTGTGTGTGGGACGAAAAAGAAACATTTATGGAGATGTCTTTGAAGGCGATAGCCTCCGAACGCCAACACGAACATATGAGGGCTTATAGCGTTGCAGGCTCCATGCGACAAAAAGGGGCGCCTGATGGCCGATATGCGAGAGGAAATTAGTTTGTGTAACATTTATCGGGGGCGGTTTGCCGTTTACAACATATGAATGTTAAGGGAGGTCCGAGATTGGGGCCTGTAAAATTGCACTGTCCGTATGGGCGGTTACACCCCTAGTGCTAGGGCGTATTTTGCGTTTTTTTTTTTTTTTTTACTGGGGAGATGATTATGACCAGGAATAGCACTCTGCAAACTTCTATGGGCGCCTGTATAGGGGCGAAACTGATTTTCCAGTGCAGGGACGGCCATCGGCATTGTGGGGCGGCATTCATTCCACTGGGGCGTCTGCCAGTGTTGAAGGGCGGGATTCATTTCAATGGGGCGCCCGTTGGTGTTGATGGGCGGCATGTATCACCTGGGGCGCCTATCGGAGATTGGGGCGGCATTAATTTCACTGAGGCGCCTATCGGCGTTGACGGGTGGTATTTATTCATCCGGGGCGCTTATCGGTGGTATAGGCCGGCATTCGCTTCACTGAGGTGCCTATCGGTGTTTTAAGGCGGCAGTAAATCCACTGGTGTCTGGGGCGCCTACCGGCGTCGAAAGGCGACATTCATAATTCATTTCACTGGGAGGCATATTGGTGTTGATGTGTAACATTCATTCTCCTGGGGCGCCCGGCAATGAGGGGGCGGCATTTATTCCGTTCCCCTGGGATGGGCCCCTACACTGAAAAAAACTTACTCCCCATTTTCTAATTTTAGAATGCCAAAAAGCACTCCTGCAATCGAATAATTTTATGACCTGGCATAAGCGCCTAAAATGGGGAGTTTTGGGGAATAAAACTAGCATATAGAATATATTTAGTATCCGAACGCTTATATTATTCGCGCAAGGGAGTAATTTTATGACGGAGGATAAAAGTATGCTATCTTTGGATAAAATTACACCAGATGATAATTTTATTAACTTAATACTAAAATTACTCCCATTCGGGGAATAATATTGCCATGCCAAAAAGCACTCCTTTTTTCGATAATTTTACCCCGGAGTAACTCCCCGGTAAAATCAAGCCCCGGTGTAAAAGTACCACCCCTGATAATGCGGGGTGATGTGATAATATTATGACCAAGTGTAAAATAAGGAATGCATTTAAACAATGTATTGAAACACCAACAATTGATTAACGAATGGTACCTGAGCATCAGCAGGTACATCTTAATTTGGACGCACTTCCAGTGATGGCGCATTGCGGCCGACAGGGACGTAATTTTGCTTCCTAGTTGAGAAGCGGCGTCTCAACTGGGAGGCAAAACTTCGTCTCTGCCGGCCGCAATGCGAAATCACTGGAAGGACGTTCAAGGTCACAACTCACAAGGGCGTTATGGTTAACACTGAGGCTAACGAATAACATCTACGCACAGAACCACCGCCACGGATGGCATATAAAACGAGCGTGATCTGGGCTATGAAAGACGTACTGAGACTCATTGGCGTACTGAGACCGCCGCAGCTGAATTAGTCATAATCAGAGGCTCCAGCAGTGTGAGCCACACGTTGCGAGTCACTTGAGCCACAGGTGAGCCACAAGTCACGAGTCACTTGAACCACAGGTGAGCTACAGGTCGCCAGTCATTCGAAGTGGGCATCTCCGATGCTGGTTCTACACTACCTGGGTAACCTCCCACACCTTCTGTGATAAGCCTATAGGTTTACATCGAATCCCACACTCCGGTAAAGAATCTCGAATGCAGGGCCCTGCAGGTCCCCGTGAACTTTGTGTAGAAGACAGCGTGGGCGGCCGTCATTAGGGCCACGGTCTCCAACCTGGTGGCCGGCAGTTGGCAGACCACCACACCGTCCACCGATAGTTCCTCACCTGCCTGACGAACCCCGTTTCTCGGATCCGCCAAGGTGCCAATGGTTGTTCCACAACCATAGGCAAGTAGAGCTAGCAGCTCGTCGTCTGCCGTGAAAAAGAATATTGCAGTCAGTTGGCATCAATGCATATCGTACAAATAAACGTAAAGGAAACCTAGGAGAGAAACAAGGAACCGCGTTCGTACAGTAGCTGGCTATGCCATCTACAGTATCTGGAGACGATTCTTAACGCTTCTTCCTGATTTCTTTTCACTCTCAAAATCGTAGTACGATGCGTAGTACGTTTGCGTAGTACGATACACTCTTACAAACGTGGTGCATAATTACAAAATGATTATACGTCGTTAAAATATTTCAGTGAAATAAGAAATTAGTACCCGATGTTCCGCTGTCATGGTTAAGTATGGAGTGCAAGTAGGTATCAAACTGCATGTAACTGTGGTATATTTGGAGACAATGAAGACAACCATGAATGGAGACAACCTGAATGGAGACAACCATGACTTTTCAATATCACTAGAGTTAAACAACACTTTTTGACTAATAGCAAAACCAACGACGATTGGCTGTCCAAAGGTGAGGTACAACATGTTGTCCCGCCCGTCGTTAAAGTGCCACCTTTTTACGGTTTTCGGTTTAAAACGGTTTTCAGTAGACCTGACCCACCTATGACCTACCCTGAAGTCCGTTTCCCGAAATTTGTCCTAGTTTTCGAGACCTATCCGCATTCGAACTTCACATTGATGCTATCACAAAAAGTGTGGGAGATGGGATTTTAACATGGTAATGTTACATTCCCATATTCCACACATTTGTGATGGCTTTAATCTGAAGTCCAATTGCGGATATCTTGAAAACTAGGCCGAATGTTGGGAAACAGACTTCAGGGTAGGTCATAGGTGGGTTAGGTCTAGTGAAAACCGTTTTGTGTAAAAAACGTGGCAGTCTTTCTTTAAGCCAAAAAAAAAATCATCAAGAAAATAAACAGTTGTCCTGCCCTCTGCTATTAACCCGCGCCCCGTAGGGGGGGGGGCCGAAACGGCCCCCCCCTGTCCTTTTCGGTCGATATCTCCTAAACGGCTGGAGATATCGCCACCAAACTTTCAGGACCCCTCCGGGCATCAATTTTACACATTGTGACCAAAAATTTTTCCAGAGGCTATGATAGGTTGGCCACAAATGACGTCAGAGTGACGTCATGTTCTGTCATTTTCGACCGAAAAAAGACCTTCGCAAGAAGACCTGTCAGGACTACAGCTTTGAAGATACAGAAAAATGATCAAGACATAAAAGGTGTAGAATTGACAGGGCTACAAAACTGCTATCTCGAATTTTTGAAATTTTTGAGTTTTGACCCCCAAAAATCAAAAAAGCATTTTTTTGGATATTTTCGCCAAAAAATCCAAAAAGTTTTTTGAGTTTCGAAAAAAACCGGAATATATGTGATAGTGCCTACCGTCTTCTATCTACACACCAAATTTCAGATCGATATCTCGTTTTTTGGCCAAGTTATAGCGAAAAAACTGTTCAAAAATGATGACGTCAAATTTTCAAACTCAATTTTTGGCAATTCTAGAACTCGTAGAGCAGAACGAAGACCACCATTAGACTCCCCGTGACGAGCTGCATCGAATCGATACCCATTTTATGCAAAAATATCAACTTTGAAATTTGACCTAATTTGACCTGACCTTGACCTGACCTTCACAAAAACGTGACCTAGGCTGGCCCCAAAGGCTGTCTAACCCACATAATCGCATTTGTCATGTAAAATGGACCATAAAACATGTATCACACGACACATTCATATTGTGACCCCCGGTGACCTGACCTCGCTGTGACCTGACCTAGTATCAGTGACCTCAGATAGCAAAGTATGTGTTTGACGAACAATGTACCATCGATGGTTTTCAATAAATTACCAATTTACTCGCTTTCACAGCACATTTCTTGAATTGCCTGCGAACGGTGAAAATCTGACCTTTGACCTGACCTGTGACGTCATCGGTTTGACCTAGGTCAATGAAATTTGGTCACAAGGTAGTTCCCGGGTGGGGCTATCGAACGCCGTTTGAATTTTGAAAATCGGCCGGTAACTTTCCGAGATCTTAGGGGGGGGGGCCGATACGGCCCCCCCCTACGGGTGGTAGGGTCCGCCGGTAGCCCTACGGGGCGCGGGTTAATGTATTACGCCATTGGGATATGTGAAACGTCATTTCTCCATCGTGCAGGAAGAAGCATGCGTGGGAAATACCTTCCTACACTTGGTTTTGGCTAATGTTTTGGCCTGACCTCGTATTTATCGAAAATACCTCGGGCCTAACTTTACATTCGCTAAAAAAAAATCAGTCAGATCTAAACATTATTCCAGCCCTGGCCAGGAATATATTGTCTACGATGATCGGCTCGAGCCCAGTTATATAGAAGAAGAGTATCCCCCCCCCCCCCGGCACGATTGTTGCTAGCGAAACACCTCATCCGAAAAGGTGTGCTTGTGCCCGTTCAAAACTCACCGTCTTTGTCGGCCGGCTCCACGTTTATCATCGTCTGGGCAGTACTTCTTCGCGGTATGTCTGATTTTGTGCAGGACATGCTCCTTCACGTCCTCCTCGAGCCCCATGATCATTCCCAAGTCAGTCCACACCTGGAAACATCGCAAAATCACATTAATGAATGGAATTAACATCAAGCAACATCAAGTGAACATTATATCATTGTGGAAGGTCAGGTCAGGTCAGGTAAGTTACTCCAGCTCACAAAAAGTTTGAAAGCGCGCCACGTCAAGTGTCAACCTCTGGTGATCTTTTACCTGATAAAAATGACTGGAATATGGGGCATTCCACGATAGATCGACCAAAATTTTATCAGATTTGCACCCGACCATTTTTGATTTTGATGAAATCTTGTCTACAGGGTTCTCTTATGCCCTGAAGTCAATGGTGACAACGCTAGACCCCTACGGTCAGCGGTTTAGGAGATATAGCCCCGGGCATTTTGACGAGGTCACTCTGCAGAGTGATTTTTGAAGTGCTATATCTCCTAAAGGAATGAAGGAAATGCATTAAATCTTTGCATCGTTGTGATCGTGGTGAAATGGGCAATTAATTGGCCATCTCGGATTTTCAAAAAAAATGATTTTGATTTTTAGCTGTGACGTCATCAATTTTTAAACTTTCTGGCTACCCCCCTAGTACATTAAAATTTGCCATTATTTTTGCTCAGAAATAAAGTTCCGTCAATTTCCTTTCGACTGGGAAAAAACAAAAATGGTAATCTTTCTACAAATATTTTATTTTATTTTTTGAAAATCGCACTACAAACTCTGATTTACAGAATCGGGTTATTAAGCAATATAAGACACATCTGCGAGGACCAGTTACTTCCAAAAAGAGTTTATCTGGGTTTCGGCATATATTATTCTTCTCTTTAACTTCACTTTTGATAACAAAAAAAAAAAGAACTTTAATATTACTTGCACAGGAGTCAATATAATGGCAAAATTATACATACTTTTGAGCTGCCACAGCTGCCTTGTTTATCAACGTAGCTCAAATGACCAACCGACAGTCGATTTGCAAAGCATATTTACGAACCGACTAATTATAAACGAACAAAATAATTTGTAGTTTCAGGAAGGCAAAAGGTGGTGTAATGTGACTAGGTATTTCATCAGCGAATCATCATTTTCAACGCTGGATGCAATAAAAGCCATAAACAACGGAGTGCGTTCCAAGTAAAAAGTGTGTTTGTGTGGCCGTGATCTCGTTCCCGTCTTGGTGCTTTGCCGTCTGTTATTGCAACTGCAATAGAAATGCACTCCGTTGTTTATGGCTTTTATTGCATCCAGCGTTGAAAATGCTGATTCGCTGATGAAATACCTAGTCACATTACACCACCTTTTGCCTTCCTGAAACTACCAATTATTTTGTTCGTTTATAATTAGTCGGTTCGTAAATATGCTTTGCAAATCGACTGTCGGTTGGTCATTTGAGCTACGTTGATAAACAAGGCAGCTGTGGCAGCTCAAAAGTATGTATAATTTTGCCATTATATTGACTCCTGTGCAAGTAATATTAAAGTTTTTTTTTGTTATCAAAAGTGAAGTAAAAGAGAAAAATATTATATGCCGAAACCCAGATAACCTCTTTTTGGAAGTAACTGGTCCTCGCAGATGTGTCTTATATTGCTTAATAACCCGATTCTGTAAATCTGAGTTTGTAGTGCGATTTTCAAAAAATAAAATAAAATATTTGTAGAAAGATTACCATTTTCGTTTTTTCCCAGTCGAAAGGAAATTGACGGAACTTTATTTCTGAGCAAAAATAATGGCAAATTTTAATGTACTAGGGGGGTAGCCAGAAAGTTTAAAAATTGATGACGTCACAGCTAAAAATCAAAATCATTTTTTTGAAAATCCGAGATGGCCAATTAATTGCCCATTTCACCACGATCACAACGATGCAAAGGTTTAATGCATTTCCTTCATTCCTTTAGGAGATATAGCACTTCAAAAATCACTCTGCAGAGTGACCTCGTCAAAATGCCCGGGGCTATATCTCCTAAACCGCTGACCGTAGGGGTCTGGCGTTGTCACCATTGACTTCAGGGCATAAGAGAACCCTGTAGACAAGATTTCATCAAAATCAAAAATGGTCGGGTGTTAGGCCTTGGTCGATCTATCGTGGAATGCCCAGAATGCTTTCGTCATGGTTTGTGACAAGATTCCCAACTCCGCCTTGAGCGTTTCGTTACGGTTACGTTGCTTAGGACCCGCCAAGTTAGATGGGAGGGGGGTGACTTCCCAGCAGGCGGTAGAAAAACCAGAGGGAGTGGGTTAAAAATTATACAAATTTTCCAGATGTTTTCCTATACAATGCTGTTCCCTGATAGCGCGGATATAAAATGGTGCCACTAATTATATAGTTAGTTCAGTTCAACCATCCCCCGTTAACGAGTTTCAAAATTCCTTTACCGTTACATCACGCTGCCGCGCTGGCGGGAAAAAAGTTCCCACGCACTCATAATACATAGGAAGATGGTGATCATCTGGGTCAACTGGCGAGCTTATAATTGGGAAGTTTATAAAAAAACACGTTGACATGAATGTTTGAAGCCCCGTTTCTCGATAATCCACCCTTAAAAGGCACAGATGTCAAATGTGACATTTTAACTACCCACGCTTACGCATAGCCACTGTGACGTCACCGTGGCAGTCAAATTTTCCTACTGAACTACCCTGTTAGTAAAGGAATCTCGAGTTCAATCACACATAACATTAGACAAGACTTTTAAATACCGAATAAAGCAACACTTACGGCAGCTTCGCTGTACATATCCGGGAATATCTCCTTCATCTCCTCGCCAGTCTTCCGGTTTCGGTTGCTCGTGAGGCATATCCGCCGAACCTCGAAGGAATCTTTGAGAACAGATGTCTTGTGAGTGACATCGGTGTGCTTTAGCTTGGCACTGAACTTGGCGGTTTCGGTGCAGATGTCTAGCTTCGACTTCTTCGTTTTGGGGAAACATCCCCGGCATCCCCTCTTCAGCTGCCGCACGCTTTTTCACATCGATGCCCCTGGCTCGTCTTTCCGTGTCGATGACGGCGTTGCTCAATGCTCAGTGGCTTTCGACAGTTCTTGAATCTGTTCCGAAGTTTCTGTCGGAAGCTGTTCTTCCGCAGAGTCACCTTTGAGAAAGAAAAGAACCGTTTTTTTTTTAATTTCATGGACAGCTTTATCAGGCAGTGAACACTGAACAAGATAAAAATACGTTCATTAAACGTGTTTTCTTCTATCGTGATATTGGGAGGATAGAGACAACAAAAAGTAGATGTCCGGATATGACCGTTTTAACAATTTGTTTTGTTTGTTTGTAACAACAATTTGTCAATTTGTTTTGACAATTTCTCTTCCAGAATTTCATCATCGCGGAAATCTTCGTCCGCAAATCTACGTCAACGCATTTCTTGGATTGTATGGTCATACTACGGATTAGGGGAGAGTGGGGCACATTCGTGCATGGGGCACATTCGTTTTCAGCAGTTTATGGGAACACGAGTGACTGCACGAGCTCAAGGTAAATTATGGAAATATGTCTATCATTGCCGCCCTTCGTTCACCGTAGAAGACAACACTGTACCTGCTGTCATGCTTGATAAAAACGCAAATTTGTAATATTCGTGAGCTTTCCAAACTTTTCTCATATCATCCATTTTCGTGATCCTGACTCGGAAATGTGGTTCAGCTTTTCAAAATTGGGGGTGAAAGCCCACTCTATTCACGGAACTGCTGCAAACTTGTTAGTTGAAAAAGTGTCATTTTTTTCAAAAAGAAATTTTGAAATATATTACTAATAACGTTGTGGGGCAGGTTCGTGTACGCACTGCCTGGGGGCAGATTCGTGCATATTTTTTTTTAGTTTTTGCAATTTATGACTTTATCTGTAGTAGGTTTCTCTAATGACGCTCGCCTGACTCAGTCTCGACTGCTTGCGACGTCGTGACGAGCAATTCACGCGAACTTGGCGAGGTCACGGAGGCCGGCAGTTGGCATATTCTTGTTGGCCAGCTCATTCTTTCTACATTTGTTGTGCAATGCATTCTTGTCGAAAGGAATCAAGTGAAATGACCCCCTGCCAATTTCCTTTGGTAAATTTCTGGTAATGCCCGGTAATTTCTCGAATTTTGCCGGGTGAACGGAAGTGCCCCATCTCTTGAACGAATGTGCCCCATAGGTGGGGCAGTTTCGTGCAAATGTTCAGAGTTAATAAAAGTCATTTTTTCTAATGGAAGCAATAATTTTATAGGATAACTTTTAAAGAGGAAAACTATCTGCAATAGTTCCTTTCCATACTACAATCAACAATTTTGCCATTGCACTAACCAAAGAACAGATATATGGGTTTATCCATTTTTTGCACGAATGTGCCCCACTCTCCCCTACTGTTAAGTCATACTAACAAAACACAAAGTATACAGTAATTTCAGCTTACCTTCGAGGACTGGGACGCTTGCTCGGTTCTCTGACAGAAGGCCTTGGTTCTGACGACTTGAGCACAATGGCGGTCGCGAATGGTCACGAACTGAAGAGACGTTCCGAAAATATTATTCTTGGAATAATACTGTGCTGGACGAATAGATTAATCACTTTTAGATTAGTTATGTCACGACGGAATAGGAATATCAAGAAAGTGATACAGTATTGCTTGAAATACGCTCCCGAATACTCCCGAAGAATAATGTTAGTAATGCTACCACATAATATTACTCCATGCACTGTAAAAAATGTTAGCACAGTTTGAGTTTTCTGACTCACTTTAACGATGTGTTCAAACAACTAACTTGCTAATGAATCCGTATTTATCGAGTAATTTAAACCTTATTGCGAAGCAAAACACGGTTAGTCCAAATCAGGATGAACTAGCTCGGAATCCCCATGTACAATGACACTGTTCGAGTAATCGCCATGTATTCATACCCGCAATTGGCGGACACTGTGTTCCGAAACACGGGGCCTGTTCCAGCGCCTCCAGAAACCTCCAGAAAGCTCCAGAAAGCTCTAGAATCCTCCAGAGAGCGTTCCAGCGCCTCCAGAAAGCTCCAGAAAGCTCTCGCCAAAGCTCCAGAAACCTCCAGTAGCCTCCAGAGAGTTGGGAGGTCCAAATTTCTCTGGAGGCTCTGGTCTACAATTATGGCGCACATGTGACAATCACGAATGTAAACAAAGGACTTTTGACTGATTATTTTACTACTTGAATGTAAAGAAAATTACATTGCTATAATTTTGTTAATCTTCTTAATAAAATTGAAAGCAAATTTTGCGTTTCAAGAGAGAACAACCGTCATTCTTTTGGTATACGTGATGCCAATCTCCAGAAATCTCCAGATTGCGTTCCAGCGCCTCCAGTAAAACCTCTGGTAGAGCCTCCAGTCAAGAATTTCTACTGGAGGCGCTGGAACAGGCCCACGAATACGATTTTGTGGAAGCATTCTTGCGCACGGTTCTACCGTGTTGAATGACACGTTGCCGTGTTTTACCCCTCTGCGTCGAGTTTAAAAACCCGAATGGGGTTATTTGGGCCGCGATCTTGAGGGACATTAACACCAATTAACACATGTGGGTTGTTAACTTACTCGGTTCACTTTCGCGCCAAATGCAGCGCCGCGTGGGCCTCAGTCGCCATCTTTGTGCGATCCAGGGAGGTCGTGTCTGTGCTGCGTGTGACGTCTTGTTGGTAAGTACAAGTGATGCTTGCTCCAAATTTTTCTTAGCAATAACATCAGTGATATTAAATGCCTTTTAGGCGTGGTTACATAAATATTATCCGTGTAGTGACTAGTGTGGCGTTATGGATGGAAAGGAGGAGCCCTCGGCCCTGATTCTCATTCTGCCACTCCACCACTGGTGGCTATGTGTGCGTTTGTAAACATGCTACTTACATGAATAATTTTGACTGTACCTTTTCAACTTTTGCCATGTATCTACCAGCTAGTTATAATTAGTCTGCCTGGTTTCTCTCTTGCCCTCTCTCTCTCTCTCTCTCTCTCTCTCTCTCTCTCTCTCTCTCTCTCTTTTCCATGGTACCTCCCTCTGCTTTTCTATTTGTCTGTGGATAAGAAGTAGGTAGACATCTGTTTGGCTGCGAACTGACACAATTTATTTATTTCAGAATACGGCTCAAGATGAGCAGAATGAAGGTAAATCTCCAAGTCCCACAGTCAGAGCTCAAGACTGTGAGGCAGGACTTCATTCCTTGATGAATGCGGCTCAACTGCTAACAGGATAAGAAGGTATTGTCCTATTTCTGCCGATTTATTATTTCACATATCACAAATCACAATTAGTGTCTGCATGGGACTCTGTTGTATTTTAGTAGACTAGGGTCTTGTCTTCTATAATATGAAGCCGATATTGAAAATTAAAATCACATGTTTAACATATTTATTATCGTCAAAAGCATAACCGATTAGTGCGATTACCCAAATCCGACGAGAGCCCGGGCGCCCCGGCGCCCCGCTCTACCCCTGCGCTCTCCCTCTCTCGTCCCGCTCCCGTGGTCAGCTGTCCCGCTGTCCAAGCGCCAGGCCGTTGCCATAGCGACGGCTGACGGCCTCCTCCGGCGGACGGATCCGGACGCCGAAACTCAGCCGTCTGTATTTTGATGGTTCTTATAGTAATATAGGTATCTTGTTTTGATGTGCATTGGCTATTGGGTTGATCAGGGTTGATGTTGGACGTTACCGATAATAGGTATAAACTATAGAGTCGATGGTGAACTTACCTAATCGCCAAGTATGTGTTAGTTTATAAACGTTGGCCTTTCGTGTAGAGTATAATGGCAGGGAATGGCCATTTAGAGGTCAAGGGACGGTCACTTCAGTAAAGGGTGCGGGCTTAACCCGCGACGCCCGCGACCCGCTGGGGAGTGGGAGGCACCCCTGTTGTTTTACGCTGATAACTCAAAAACGGCCGCGATTTTTAACTCGCCGATTCTAGTACTCCTCCGGACATCAATTTCACTCAACTCCTGAAAAATGCGTCCTAGGTCACCTCGGGTCATGAGTTATGGGGGTCAAACTGAGGTCATGTTCGGACATTTTCCGTCTAAAAAATAAAAAGGTCGTTCACGGGAATAAATCACAAAATATATTTTCAATCAAAAGACTCAAAAATCGCACATTAGGTACAAAATGCATGACAAAAGACACTGCTACCACAAAATTTCCGAAAAAGAAATATCAATATTTTGATATTTCTACACTCAAAACTCCTCCAGTTTTTTTTTTTAATTTAGGGAAGTTAAAAACGGAGCATATGCCGGAGAGATCCTTATTCCTTATTGCCTTTACAGGGTGTCTCAAAAAAGTGTCACGGTTTTGAACATCTCCCGTTTCGTAGCCATACACATCCTAAAAATTAACAAAATATGTGTCTGTAAAACTGCCAGTGATATAGTTATTTGAAACACTAAAAAATAAAAAGCGACTGTTCTTGTGACGTCCGATTTTTTTCAGCACTTGTTAGGTACTGAAAGTAGTCTAGAGTAATATCTACGATACTTGCCCCTCTCTTCCTGACTAAATAGGTATCAACGTTTTGTCGTCTCTTTTAAATGATAAGTCACTTTAATAAAATGTTTGTCATTATAAACTGCTACAATTTGACCTTGCTTGCCGTCCTGTGATGTCATAGGTCAAAGAAAAATGACGTCGGGGAGACGCGTCGAATAGCCTATAAGTTGACCCGAAAAGGTCAACTTAAAAATTTGACCTCAGGTCAAGGTCACGGAAAAGGTCATGTTGCAAGTCATTCGTTTCGTATTGTTAAGCTGAACACATTCCTGGTGTCTTCAGAAACTGTTTGAGACGGTTCGTGACCTGAGATGACCTCAGAGGCATTAACCCGGCAGTTGCTGGGGTATTTCGCCACACACCGTTTGCTGGGGGGGGGGGCGTTAAACGCCCCCAGCCGATAACTCGAGAACCAATAGGCGCAGCGAAACGCACGAGGCGGCAAACGAAAGAGCGCGACGAGACGCCTCAGATGAGTACTTTAAAGTTGAATTTTGAGGTCACAGGTCGGGTCAAGGTCAGGTCAAACACCTGAAATCGGGCTTTCAGTAGCATGGACTTCAGGACTTCGCAATGGGCGCCTCTCGTCACAAACTCTGTCAAAACGGTACACAATCCATCATATAAAGCCTACAAGAGTGTCAGCTCCATGTAGGGGTCAGTCAAGTATAGGTCAGGGTCAAGGTCAGGTCAACCGGGTAGGCACATATCCCCGAAAATCAAAACTGATATTCGCAGCCTGTGACACATGTTTTATGGGTAATTAGGGGCGTAGAACACGATGGTGACATTCATTTTATCATGTGTGTACGTGTTTGGCTCAAAAAGTTAAATTTAAGAAATGCATGTATCAGGGTCGTGAAGCAGTCACGAGAAATTGCCAAGATTCAGTTCAAGATTTTGGAAAATGCGGAATGATAGTCAATAATCGAAGATAGCCATTTGATTGTTCATGGTATTGGCAGTCTAATGGCGTTTACGGCATGTCTGTATGTCTATTCTATGATTTTATATGATTTTTTGAACATATGCCGTTTTTGGTAAAAAACTCAGAAATCATGACGTCACTAAAACCTCGATATCTCAAAAAATTTCCAACCGATTTTTTTGAAACTTTGTCACAATAAACTTCGATCAATTTCTTACAGGTACCCGAAATTTGGCGCGCCTGCGGCGCGCCGTTTTTATGCTATGGCCCGGCGAAAAAAGTGGGGGCGTTTAACGCCCCCCCCCCAGCAACTCGCGGGTTAAAGGGGGTCACAGGTGCAATTTTCCGGTTCATTGTGCCATGTTCATCTGTGTCCCGATGCTAGAGGGTATTTACGGCCAAAAGAAGCGGATTTCAATTTTCTTCCATTGACTAAAAGTCAATGGAGGGGTCACAAAATCGACCTGACCTTACGTCACAGATATCAAAATTCCGAGAAATGCAAATTGTTCATAATGACAAGCTCATGCAATAGCATGAGTTTCAAACTTCTGGGATGTACGAATATACTTTAGAAATGACTGAATCACAAAGTTTAAAGAGGCATGATCACTTAACTTGGACTGTGACCTGACCTTATGTGACCCGGGATCGAAAATATTACTCACGATGTGAAATTGATGTATTATAAGCTATACCAAGTTTCGCAGCGCTGCTTGCCGATTTTTTTACACTCGCAAAAAAACTGGCAGGTGTGGCCAACGCTCCCCCCCCCCGACCCCCCACCCGTGCGAAGGTTAGAGTATGTATCATTATGCCGTTCATTCATGCACTTCGTCATTTACTGACATTATTTTTTTTCTTATTTCAGACACGAACCAGGAGAAGTTGGACGCTTTTTAGAATTTCCTCTCGTACCGCTATAGTGTCATGGGTGGAGGGGAGCGAGGCTGCCATCTCCGAAGACAACACGCCTCTGAGTGTGCGCCTCCTAGTTTGTGCGGCAATGTTCCCCGTGTTCAATGAGAAAATTCAATGCCCCAGCGGTCAGAACTCCCAGCTAGTGTTGACGCAATAGCTCTCCAAATGTCGACCGGAAAGTCGTTAAAAAAATCGTTGCGACGATCGGCTCGACAAGCTGAAGACCGCGCCAGTTAATGCATGTGAAACGGCACCTCTACTCTCCCATCGCCAGGCCCAAAGACGTGTTATTCATAGGTGTCTTTCACAATACTAGTGTTGCTGATCGCGGAGGACCACTGTCCACTGCTCGTCCGCCGTGGTGTTACTTCTGATGAGGCTCAGAGCGCATGTGTATTGTTTACTGTGAACAATCTGTTGAAATATATAATGAGTAGATCTGTTATACTCTGAGACTTAATGAACTTGGCTAACGAGGATGTGTGTTAAAGCAAAACGAACTGTGTTACACGCCTCAATAATTATGTGGAATGAGTTGTATAAATGTATACTTCATGTCGATTTATTGCGGTTAAAGACGTTACCTCTCTTTAAACGCGGCTGGGCCTGTTACAGCCCCGTTTGCATCAAAGAAGGTACGCCTTTCATCGCAATAAGTCCACATGAATTATATATATTCATATATTCACTCAACGTGATCATTGAATCGTGTAATGCAGCTCATTTTGCGTTAATATACATTCTAAAAGGAGGTACTGGACGGGAAGTATATGAACACGAACCGAGCTACGAAACACGTTACACGTTTATGGTGAGTTTACTAACATCTAATTTCCGGATATGTTAACACAAATAAGTTTATGTAGCCGATAATTATCCGAGCCCAGAAACACCAGTGGTGTTATTGAACACTTAACATCTTTAATGCGAGCTATTTTACACGTTATTCGATACGCTAGAAACATGTTGGCGAGTTATCGAACTCGGTAACATGTCTTTATCGAGTTACGGAACACCACTTTTTGGAAAGTCAAAACTCATACCGAGTTATGTAGCACGGATTTACCGTGTATGAGAAAACACGGTGGCGTGTTATGAGATACGGCTGTACCGAGTCGTTTTTGGCCATATAACACAAAACGTGTTATCATTTTTTACAGTGTGGTTATAAAATTATTGTCCGGACATGATAGTTTTATCACGAAGGAAGTAATTTTTACACCTACATGAGAATAGTTTTATTCTGTCGCGTCAATTTATCAGCCGTAATGGAGTATAAAAATTACCCTAATTACTCCACAGCGGTTTATTTTTATGCAGTTTTGATAAAAGTACTCTAGCTGTCAATTTTATTACCATCTAATGGGAGTTCAGCACAAATATATTCCAATGACCTTGTTTATCACTGTGAACTAAGCTAAAATTACCACATGCCTCTTTGAGACTGATATAAATTTATAACCCGAAAGAATAAAAAGGACACGTGATAAAATTAGAAGATAAAATTACCACTTGCTAAAACACAAAAGAGATGATTATAGTACCAGGTTTAAGAATAACTTTCAAAAACGCCCTTAATGCAATGCAGAGAGTAAGAATACGCTACAAAACATAATCATTATATGCCATTGGTGCGTGATTATTCGCCAAACTGGAGTGGAAAAACTCCAAAAATAACTCTCTAGGTGTAAGTTTTTTTCAGTGTATCGGTGTGGAGGCGTCGCCGTCGTATTACTTTGAAATGGGGGCACCTCTGGATGGTAGTAGATGCATTCATTTTGCTGGGACACCTACCAGCGTTGATTGCCTGTATTCATTCATTTCGGGCTCCTATCGGTGTTGAAAGGCGGCATTTATTTCACTCACTGAGAAAAAAATTGACTCCATATGGGTCAAAACTCTTGAAAATGCTCCCCTGAAAACTCCTTAAAACCATTGATAACTCCCTTTCCAGCAGAGTTATTGAGTGTGTTCTAGGGTAACTTCGAGCCTTCCTCATTTTGCGAAAGAGTTTTCAAGAGTTCTTAATGGATGGCGAAATGACTCCATGTGTGACACCCCATAACTCTGTGACGCAACTCTCCATTACTTCCGAAAAACCTTTCCCGAACGTTCCGACAGGAGTAAAAGGGGAGTTACGAAGGGGTTTTAGCATACGTCGCGAGGAGCTGCCGGTGGCCGCCATCTTTTGCGCGTAGTACACAGCACGTTGTGCGGGGCGGCGGGCGAGGTGTTAGTGAAGAGCGTGTTGACTTAGACGGACCTGACCTATATACAGTGACGGATAATTGGACCTTACTTTGGATTTAAAGGTAAGCTTAGCTGTATTTCTCATCATGCTTTTATAGTGCAAAGTGTTATAATGCTGTGATGAGAACATATTGGTAACCCCATGTTCTTGATGGGCTGGAATGGTCTCTGTAAGGGTAATTGATTTGTATCGTTCCTGAGTGAGATAAAGATCGGAAACAGCATGCTCTGAGTTTCTAGGTATTGGCAAATATCACACATTATTTCCCTCGAATAAATTGGAAAGTTAGGATTACACAAGCTTTACACGTCATGGATCCTATTGTTATTGCCCAATTATTTTAATATCTGTACCAATGACAAATATCAAATTTGAAGGGTTTGCAAAGGAGAGCCAGAAAATAAAACTATCTTGGCATAAAAGCCTTGATTTTCCTAGCCCCTACATATATATATATAGAAAAAAAATCAGTTACCTACCACTGCCACTGCCCATGAATGATGAAAACCACCGACAAACCAGCATGTTTAAATAAATTTTGTCTAAATTGTTGTATGTTTTTAGAAAGTGTTCATAATTGAATTCGTTCTTTAATGTTAACATGGTTACCTATGCAGCGTATAACGACCTTAGCTTATTTTTAGCGACCTGCTCAACTTTTTGAGCGTTCAAGTAGGTACATTTTATAGCATTGCCCTACTGTGTCTGCAACTAAGATGGAGGCTGTTAACTTGCCCTTTAGACTTTCACTGAAACTTAACTTTATCAAAATTGTAGTGCATAAAAAGTATGCTAACTTTGCAATCTCTTGCTTTCATTATTTTGACATCATGTGCCGAAATGCAGTATCAGTGCCAACACGTCAGGTCGCGTATGTCTCGTCTCGTCCATCTTGTCTCATCTGCCTACCTCTCAGTCTCCTCCCTCATTTCTTCCTTCCATCTTTCCTCGCTTCCTTTCTCACTCCCTCTTTCCCTCCCCTCTCTCTCCCTTTCTTTCTCCCTCTATCCCTCCCTTCCTTCCTGTTTTCCTTCCTTCCTTCCTTCATCCCTCCTCTCCTTCCCTCCCTTTCTCCTTCATTATTTCCCCTTCTTCTCTTTTTTTCTTTCTCCTCCATTTCCTCCCACGCAATGTTAAGGGTACCTATAATTTCATGGTTATTAACATTTTGCAGGGGATGAGCTGGAGAGCCTGCAGCGCATCCCGCAAGACACGTCGGAAGCCAACGGAGGCCAGCAAAATATCCATCCCACCATCGTGAAAGGAGAGCCGGACGAAGAAGACGCAGTATTCGTCGAGGCCCAGGAGGTGGTAGGGTAGCGGCACCACCAGACCAAGCATTCCTGCTGTGGTAGGCCGCCTTTTGGATTCTTAACATCAAAACTCGCGACCGTGAAGCATATGGAGTGAGATCCCCGGAAAGCGTGCCGTGGCGGGATGTCGAAAGCGTTTGTTAATTTTTTAAGCCTCCCACCGCCCCGGACTATGAATACACATTACTTGAAATATATTTTTTATCTGTGCTTCGGTACACGAGCTTTGGGTGGTTACGCTATTCGTCCAATATTTATTTTCGGGGGGGAGGGGCTGGAGTGGAGTGATGGGAAGTTTGGGTGAGTTTGATGGGGAGTAACAAGAGGTATACCATGAAGCTGTAAACGGAGTTTTGGGGAATCATGGAATGGAGTAATCGGGAGTAATTATGAGGCAGTAGGAGAGTCATTGAGAGTAATGGAAGGGAGTTTCAGGGAGTATGTTGTTTGTTTTGATAGGGTAAAGAAGAGTAATGAAGAGTTTTCTAAAACGGTAGGGAGAGTTACAGAGAGTTTCTCGAGGGAAGTTTTGGGGTGTAATGGAGAGTTTTAGAGGGGGTGTAATGAGGAGTACCACCTGGGAGTTTTGGGGTGTCGTTTTGGTGAACTCCCCCTGGGGGTGTCATGCGGAGTCAGGATTTTTCTCAGTGCTGGGGCGTCACAAACCTGCTACTCCCACCATAAACCTCAGCCTATTCACTTCACGTTAGCAGTAACTAGAAGTCTCTTAGGGGGGATCCATAGGGGGAGGCTTAGTCTCGGCATAGTCTCGGGTATCATTGCGTCGCGTCGGAGCGATTAGAAACTGGGTTCTAACGATCGAAATTTCGCAGCTCTAACCAACTTGCCGGGAGGACGGATGCAACTTAAACGCAATTTAAATGAGTGTTTTTTTTTTAACAATTCTCTGTCACCGAGTTAGTGTTATGGATTCGGCGCCTTATTCACTAGTCCACACGAAGGTATTGGAACCGTGGAACTCTTTTCGATATGCCTTATTCGGACAATCTTATGATATGGTGATGAGGTTGTTTCTAAACGAACATTATGAAGGTTACATTTACGCTATGGAATGTACCTAACTATTTCTCGTTACATAAAAACTGTAAATTCTGAACGTGTTAACAGGTACAACACATTGTCAAACGTCTCTTCACTGTTTGTGTTACTACAACCGTGTATATGGTAAGGGGCGCCCAGCGGGAAGGGGCGCTTCAATATCGTTTGCACCCCTATCCTAGAATACCTTCCGCCGCCACTGTTTTAAATCATGATTTTGAGACTAAAATGCCACCATTTGATCCACCAATCTTATCGACAGGTGCTGAGGTGCGACGTTATAATGACCACCTACGCCAGCGGCGGCGGCTTGGCGCTTGACCGGGCGGACAGACGGAAAAACGGACAAGCGGACTGATGGATAAACGGGCAGACGGATAGAAGGACGGACGGACCGACCAATGGACAGACCGACGGACGGACAGACAGACAGACGGAGCTGACGGACAGACGGATAGACGGATAAGCGGACAGACGGACGGACGGACGGACGGACGGACGGACGGACTGACTGACTGACTGACTGACTGACTGACTGACTGACGGACGGACAGACAGACGGACAGACGAATAGACGAACAGACAGACGGACGGACTGACGGACAGACGAATAGACGAACAGACGGACGGACGGACAGACGGACGGAGCTGACGGAGGCCGGACAGACTGACCGACTGACGGACAGACAGGCAGCGAACGTGTGAACCGGATGTGGAATGGTGACCGACCTGCCCCCTCCCCCCCCCGGGGGGACGGGGCCGTGACCGTGTGTAGGCCGTGGGGCCGGTGCAGCGGCGCGGTCACCTGAGACCCGGAGA